TGTGATGATTGGAAATTCAAAATAAATGAATATTTCTGGCTTATATTTCCCAGAGTATTCAAAAATCATCTCCTCTGGGAAGCATGAGTGGGTGATACGCATCTAACTGGAACGCTACATTTACAAGGCTTCATAACCACAGCACCTAAGGTCGGGCAGATACTTGTACACTGAGACAGACTGTTAACAGGGAACTCTTTTAGGAAAATAAAAACAGGCTTCTTTGAGTGATGGAACTATTGATCCAAAGCAACACTGGGTGAACTCAGATTTCTATTTCTCCTGAGCAAGTCCTGGTACTCCCCTGGGTCTTAGTTTCTTCATTTGTACAAAGGATGAGCTAGAGTTGATGAACCTCTTGAATAACTGTTTAAACTGAGTTTCAATGCTCTGTTTTTTAGTGTGATATTATTGGGTTGGGTTTTATTATATTAACAATTAGAAAATTTAATAAGCGCTTTTGAGAAACATCTACTTAGATTGAAAAATCTTTGGATTCTCAATCATCTTGAAGTCGCCTAGTCTCTGCATTATTTCTATTTTTTGTTCTGCTATTCTTCAAACAAAGCCAGGGAACTTCAAATGGAGGGCATTATTTCCCTCTCTGTGCTCATGAATTCTAACAAGGCAACAGCAAGGGTGGTGATGCTCTTTCTGGGCATCTTCATGATAAACCCAGCAAGGATGTCTTGGAGCAGAGAGTAGCTCCTGTGAGCCCTTTGATTTTAAAGTCACTTGCTGCTTATAGCTGACTTTTCTGGAGATCTGCACCCTATGAATCTCCACACTAATTTTTTTAAAGATTTATTTATTTATTTATGCATACAAGAGCTGGGGTACAGGCCAGAGGTGTGGGGGGTGAGAGGATTCACCAGAGACAGAGTGGGAAACAGAACAGGCAGATTGACTGAAATACACTGCTGAGGGGAGCAGCAGGAGAGACAGGAGAGGTCTGCTGCGCCATGTGGGTAGCTCCCTGGTCGGGGATCAAACTTGTGCTGCAGTGGCTGTGGATAGCTTCATAGGTTGCGTCTTAACTCCTTGCACCACCAGGGAGGCCATCCACACTAATTTTTCCTTTACCCTTTTTTTCTTGTTCAAAGGTCTTTGTCTTTATTCTCTGTTTTTCTAATTTATACACATACTCCCTGCTTGCTCCAGAAAGTTATAAAAGCCATGATCAAGCCAGCCACATTTTGCTGTTTAGAGCAGAGGTAATATTATTCATGAATCACATAAAACCCTGGAGACTGGGCAGCTGGGAGGTATAGGTCATTTTCTCTCTACATTTGGTTTTACTATAGTCATCACAGCTCTGTACTTTCTTTTCTCAATATGTTAAACTGGAATATTATTGGCCTTGAGATGAAGGGAACTGGTCCCCTGTGGCTTTCCCTAGACTTCCTCATCCAGCTGACCATCACCTCTGCCTCTGAATAATGCCCATCTGATATGAGGGAATGTGGTAGGTAGAAGTCTTTAAAATTACTGTACTCGACTATCCTCAATTAATTATTGGGCAAACCTTGATTTCTGTGCAAGTAATTTCACTCACTAGTGACTTGATCTAGCAACTCAATGCATATTCTGGCATATGCTTTCTTGTTCTGAGCTGGAGTTACATGGCGTCTCCGTGAGGACGCCAGGAGGTGCTTCAGCTCTGCAGAGAGACATGCTAAGACTCCCTCAAGGGGCGAGTCCGAAATAAGTCAATCAGGAATTAAACCCCAAATGACTGATTTTTCCAGCTATTCTGAACCGCGTGACCTCACTTAATATTTCAGAGCCTGTTATCCTACCTGCCAAGTGGAAGGAGGAGGCTGTGTATTGGACACCGGAGCCAGACAGATGTGGTCTGAATCCCAGCTCTAGCTCTGCTGCTTACACCTGATTGACCTGGCTCGGGTCCCTCGGCCGAGGCCCTCCTACAGCAACCTGCTGCTCGCCCTGGCCTTGAGGTTAGATGTAGCCAGAGACAGTGGCCACCGGTTAGGACAACCTCTCCATTTCCCTAAGCACATTTGCAAACATCATCATATTCTGTGTGGCCAAGTGGGGAACAACTCAAGAGATAGTGATTTCAGCTCTCCCTTTAGTCTCAGTCTTCCTTATCTAAAAATTTTACCTCCTCATGGGAGCAATCCACAGGCAAGACTCAGCTCAGTCTCTGATTCAGGGGGAGTTGGAGATGTATTTGGGCAATTAATGGTAGTTACAGTTACAGGACGTCTAACTTTCAGCAGGTCTGTTATAACTGGATGACACATCTCCCTACAGTGATGGTGGAGTTCAGTAAAGATCCAAGATAATGCTCATCATTTCTTACTATGAAAAATAGATACAGGCTTATTCAATGGAGAATTGTCCTTCTCCCCCCAACACACACGCATTGCAAAGGTGCAGAAAAATGGGCAGAGGCTGACTCCCCATAACATCAGGACCATTGATTCATCTCTTTGCAGCCAAAGAGAATGTGGGGATATGTGAGGGTAAAGGTAAAGAAAACACTTTCACATTCAAAGTTAGTTCATGACTTGGACTTTGGGGAAGTCTCCTTGGTGAGACCAGCCAGCCCACAGTTTCCTCCTTGAAAGTCACACTTCATCCTAGTGCACTGCCACGGAGCCTGTACCTTCAGCTTCTCAGAACCTCCTCACAGGTTTCCCAACAATGGTTTCACCTTGCCCCAGTCCACCTTGCACCCTGCAGACAAACAGCCTTTCTAAAACAAAACAAAACAAAAAATGACCTTGCAGGGCCTCCCTGGTGGCACAGTGGGTTGAGCACTGCGTTGTGAAATTGTCCGCAGCCTCTGCAGTGCGGATTCAATTCCTGGCCAGTGAGGGAGATTCCCACATGGCGTGGCAGACCTTTCCTGCCTCACCCGCTGCTTCCCTCAGCAGTGTCCTCTGTCCATCTGCCTGTTCTGCTCCCCGCTCTCTCTAGTGAATTCTCTCACTCTTCTGAGCCTCTGACCTGTACCCCAGTTCTTATATAAATAAATAAAAATCTTTTTAAAAAATGATCTTACATGGTTTCCTACCACCTTCAAGGCATAGTCTGAGCTCCTTAGCCTCCTTGTCCTGTGTCACCTGCGCTCATTCTGCAGCTTCTCTTGTCTGGTCTTTCCTCGTTCCTCATTGTGCCACCCACACCCAACCATGCCAGCTGGTGTTCCCCCTGTCTGCCATGCTCTCCCATGCCATCTCCATGTTCCAAGGTGCCCTTCTGTCTGCTCATACCATGCCCCATCCTGCCTACCAAGGGGGCTCAGGATCCTGTGAGTTCTTTGTAGACAAGGCAGGATGTGCTTCCTGTGCTCTCAGGGATTATATTGTGACTGCATTGCAGGGAGCATCCTCTCTTCATCACAATATTTATCCTGCCAAAGCTGGAGCCTGAGTCCATGCATGTACCCCTTCAACTCTAAGTGCTATGAGAACAGGGGCAATTCAAAAATTTCTAGGACTCCTCCCATGGTTCCCAGAACATAGCAGGTTCTCTTTATAAGCTCGTTGAAGGACAAATGAGGAAAAAAACCTGGGTGCATAATGAGAAGGGCGATAATGGGAAGAAAAAAAGATAATAGTCATCATCAGCATCATAAATGGTAGATCAAGAGGATTAAATTTGTGTCAAGCTCAGAATCAGACTGCTGGGACATGTATGCCAAAGAGGTCTGAGAGCAGGAACTAGGAAGTCGCCGTGCACAGAAGCCTCAGGACAGGTAAAAGGCAAAGCCTGTGAACCAAAGCTGCATCCTTGGAAATCAATGAGCTGTGAACAGTCCAGGGTAGATGTGTAACTTAGCCCAGAAAATGGAAAATGGATTGCTGAGAAAAGGAAAAGGACACATGAGGAATCTCAAGTCTCAGCTTCAGATCACAGCCCCCCTGGCAATATCGAGCTTCCATATTTAAAAAAAAAAAAAAATCCCAAAGCTACTAACCAAAAAACCAAAAGCTACTAACATCAAAGCCCCAAGAACCATCTACAAGAAACTCCCTCTCTGTTCTTGCCAGTTCAACCTGCAACTACTCTGACCTGGGGTGCATCCTCAGGCAGACAAAAATCCATCTTCATGCCTCAGGTATGACAGCCATGCTTTCCTGATGGCTGACGCCTTCCCCCTGATGCCCCTGCTCCCCACGCTTGGAGAGACTGAAGCTGACTTGGTGGAGAGACATCTTCACAAGCACCCCGGAGTATGACAAAGCAAGTCAAGCTGGTACCAAAAGGCGCCCACCTGCGGCCAGGTAAGTCCCTGTCTCCCACAGCCTCTTAACCAAGTCTCCATGGTTTGCTTCACGCCCATCTAAAGAAAGAGACACATATTTTCCCTAAAGCCTGCCAACCGCGAAGACAAATGTCTTTTCAGCAACTGAGGACTGTAAGTCCTAGCTGTTTGGAGAAGGGGCTCCAATGGCTGTCTGTCCCCAGGCTCACATAGAGCAGAGCCAGGAACAGTGGTGCACACTAGAGAGCACCCATCATAGCAGTAATTAGGGAAGTGAGTAAATGGTGAGAAATCCAAATGCACAAACTCAGAAGCTTGCAACACTTCACAAAATGAAGGGAAGGTGTTTTGGTGAAGTAGGCAAAAATGTCTTACTAGCACTTTCCTGTCCAGATAAGCTTTTAGCCTTTGCCATAATAGACTCACAAGCACCTCTGTCCTCTCCCTTCCCTGGGAAGGCCTGAGAGGGTTCTACAAGTTCTTGCAGCAACTGAAAGGCTGCATCAAAGTCCCCTGCCACCCAGAGGGAACCCAGCCTGATGGCCCCTGAGGTCTGAACTGTCCTGGGCTCAGGCTGTGAAGCCGGAGGAAGGCCAGTCTCATAGCTGGGAACACATGTGTGAAAAGATGAGGAGCATCAAGTGAGTGAGGTAAAACCACACTTCACCACCCAGGAGTAGATTCAAGGTAGGGACAAAAGTTAAATTCTCAAGAGAATTAACTCCTTTCTACAGACAGGGTGACATGGCATTTGTCTCCTTACCTCATGGGTTGCCAGAGTCAATGTGAAGACAAACACTCAATTTCTCGGTCCCACTCAATTTCTGGATCCTTGGTGTAAGGTGTGCTTGCTCGTGTGGCCCAAGAGTTTGGGTGTCTCTGGTGAGGATGCCTGAGGTCCTATTGGTTTTTATGAGTCTGTGGGTTGGCTCAGACCGGCTGCCGACTCATCTGTATGCATCAGCTCTCAAAGAACACAGTTTACTTTAGAACCGGATCCAGCAAGAGTAGGCGTGGCAGTTAAATGGGCTTCCTACACCAAAGGTGTCGAGCTGCCAGGGCTAATTAAGAAAGATTTGCTTGTGGAGCCCTGGCTTGGAACCTGTGCTCACAGCATCTCAATCAAATGCGTGAGGCCGAGTCCCTGTGCACCTGAGCCAGGTGTTTCGTGGTAGAGATGTCTGGGGTCCCCAAGGAGCCCCTCTGAGGTTTCTTCCCCTCAGGACTCACTCAGTGGCCATAGATCAGGCTGACGAGAGCTGCTCTTCGCCATTCTTCTGTCACACTGGCCCCAGTACAGAGTAGACCTCTACAGCAGGCTCCACAGGAAGGCCAACAGCAGGGAGCCAGCCTTTGCTCCACCTTCTCACCCTGGAGGTCTGTGGTGGGACATAACATAGACAGATGTAAGGCACTTGGCATCCACTTGGCATTAAATAAACACTCGTGAAAGTCAACCTACCCGGACACCAGTTTCTTCCCTCCTTCCTACCCCAACTCCTTCATGCTGAGGGTGGGGAGCGCCAATCTTCTGTCCCTCCTAAGTTGTTTCCTTCTCAGCGATCCTTTCTTCTCATGTGCCCTCCATGAACCACCATTCATTTAGCTGCTGGTGCAGCAGAAAGCCCCTTAATTCGCTCTTCTCTCGTCTCTGTGGCGTGGCAAATAGCAGATCCCTGCACCCTCTGTCCCCTTCATCTCCACTCAGCACACACAAGGCCACCTGAGAGCAGAAGACAGCCAAAGAGCAGAAGATACTGCAATGCACACCTTGGTTTGGGGCCATACGCAGGTGATTTGGACGCCACTCTGTTATATGGGAGATACGTGTGGCGGGATTTTCATAGAGTGTCAGATGGAAGCAAATGTATAATTACATGGGAAGAAGAAACTTTGTAAACATTTCCAAATCTAACCATTTGTGGTAATAAAGGAAAATGAAGATAGTAGGTGTAAATAAATCATCTTATGGTAACATTTGCCTTGTGAAGTCTGATTATAAGAGACCTACCCTAAGGAGCAGCAGCACCTCGGGAAAAGAACAAGAGATGAAAAAGCTCCTGCCAAATAGGGCTTCCCCTTCCCAGGCGTCCTTGTGGGCAGACAGTTCCCACCTCGCACATTTATCCCTTGGCTCACCCCTCTCTCCAAAAGAATCTCCAGGCTCTATCCTCCACCTGTGGTCTCTGCCTGCCCCTCCCCAATATTAAAAATTAATTCAGTCTTGAGTCAGAAATTCATCTGCAGGTGAAAGCAAGTTTCTTTTAGTTTTTAAGATTTATTTTTATTTATTTATGCATACAAGAACTGGAGTGTAGGCCAGAGGTGCAGGGGGTGAAAGGATTCACTGGAGACAGAGTGGGGAGCATAACAGGTGGATCCACTGAAATACACTGCTGAGGGGAGCAGCAGGGGAGACAGGAGAGGTCTGCTGTGCCATGTGGGTTAGCTCTCTGGCCCAGGGGATTGAACTCATGCTGCAGTGGCTGGAGATAGCTTGATAGGGGTGAGACTTTAACCCCTGTGCCACCAAGGAGGCCCTGAAAGCAAGATTCTTTGTTGAGGTCTTTAGGGAATAGCGATTCCTTAGCAAGGATGCCTATATTCCAAGTGGGGGCTGAGGGGAGACTAGAGATAACCTAATAAAATTATCTAAAAGAGGAAAGAAAAAAATATACAGATGAAAGTGATGCCTGCAGGCTAGTGTAGTCAAAGATTGTCCTCTCTGAACCCCAGTTCCTAGAGCAGATCAGTTCTGTGAGAAGGTTTGATTCCCTCTTTCGAAACTCCCTGATTCCATTGTCAGGATGGTTTACAGCGGGTGATTCATGCAGCTGTAAATTCAGGTTACCAGGCATAGGGGGCGGGAGACGTGTGTAAATTTACTTGCCTCATGACCCCAGAATACAGTTTGGATTTTTCCTTTGTCAATTAATTTCAGGACTTCTCAGTCACCTCCTTGTTACCCTTGTTGAGCTACTGCGTCACCAAGTATCTCAAACCCAGTTCACCCATCACCTCCTCTGTACAGTGTGTCTCCCTGAGTCTGGGTGTGGGGACCACAGAACTGTACCCTGCAGACCTCTCAATGCAGGGAGATTGTGGGTCCAAGCACCCTAACTGCTGTGCCCCAAAATGATTGAGCACAGCTCAGACACAGGGAGGCCAGTGCTGGAAGAAGGGCTCCTCTGAGAGCAGATGTAGCTGGAGAACCCCATCCAGGTGAGGGGGGGGCCTATGGCTGCAGGGCCAGCCAGCAGGCAGCAACCCCCTCCCCAGACTCACTACCCACTCTCTGCTCTCCTTCCTGACTTCTCCCACCCAGGAAGTTCCCCAGATACATGTTCTGCTCTGTTAATCCCACTTGGTTCTGCTTCTCCTCAGAGGACCTGATCTGGCCCTTGGGCATCCCTCAGAGAGACCCTGGCTGGAGCAGGGTCCAGCAGGCCAACCTTCGGAGCCTCTCTGCCAGTGTGAGTTGAGGGCATGCCTTTTAATGTCCCAATTATCCACCAGACAGGTAGAAGTACAAACATACACCTCTCAAAGGCAAACATTAATTCTCAGAAACAGTACAGAACAAACCCAAAATGAGGAAAATAAAAGTTTCCTTAGGCACACCTCATTCATTTGTCAGGCAGGGAGGCTAGAGCCAGAATGTCTCATTATGATGCAGATCAGGTCACTCTCTTACCTCTATGGCCCCTCCTGGCCCCTCCCTCAAAAGGGTCCCTTGGGACCTGCTAAGAATAAGAAAGGGCTTATAAGTGAAAATCAAAATCAACAAAAAACTATGAACCAGAGACACTTTTTGGGGGGTGGGGGGCGGGAGGGGAAGGATTGGGGTCAGAATGGGGCGTTTGCAATTGTATGGGGGAATATAAAAATAAAATTTATTATAAAAAAAAAAAAAGAATAAGAAAGGGCTGTTGTTGCTAAGCAACGAGGAAGGCAGGACTGATATTTCCACTTCCACACGTCTTGGTTACAATGTGCAAGTGAAGACCTTTGACCTGATGGAACCCAGCATCTATCCTAAAACCAACGTGCTTCTTTTTCTTAGTCTCTCCTACCCACGTGTTCTTGGGAAATTCAGCTCCAGCTGAACTGGCAGCTGCAGTCACCAAGAAAGTCCTCCTGGGCCTGGGGTTAGTGCAGCAAGGGTCATCCCTCTCCCCTTTCTGGGCTCTGGCTCTGCCCTGGCCCACTGAGCTGCTAGCTTACTGGTGTCACAGGTATTGTACCTGCACAGGTATTATATCTGCTTTCCATATGCCCTGGGATCTCCCACCTCTGCACTACAGCAAGAGGACCAGAGCCAATGGCGCAGTTTTCTATTTTTTTTTTAAAGGGAATTTGGAATATATCAAAGATGTTATTTCATTCAAGACTAATATTCCAACAGGAGCAGTTCAGATAAACAGTAGGCCCTTCAGAGTTGCCTTGCTGATTTAGAGGAGAATGGGACATTCTATTCACACAGGGGCAGCAGCACATGGCAAGGATTGGGAGGCGAGAACCTGGGAACAGGTGCAGGGGCAGCCACGGGGAAGGCAGGCAGGACCTGCAAAGCAGAGTCACAGGCCGGGTCCTGGAAGTGTTGCAAACATTGGAAAAGGATGCAAGATCAGCAGATCATGGCAACACTGCCAGGGCAAGGTCTTCCTGGTCTGAGGAGAAGAGGAATCACATGAGTGAAAACCCATCTGTGCCGAGTGTGTGCCCAGCAACCCCAGCCTTTGGGACAGGTATTGCTTTCATCAATGTACAAATAAATGCACAGGCAAAGACACTTCCCCAGGGCACACACCTAGTATCTGACCAAGTTGGGGGTCAAGGTGCCTACTCATATGCATAGGCTGCTCCCCACCGTTGGGACACTAAGGAGATCAGCTTCCAGGGACAGGACTTTCCGTGGGAGGGACCAGAGCTCGGGGTCTTTGTCCTGCCCTGAGTTAAAAAGCAGTTCTTGGGCCTCCCTGGTGACACAAGATGTTAAGACACAGCACTGTGAAGCTATCCACAGCCAGGGCAGCATGAGTTCGATCCCCAGCCAGGGAGGTGACCCACATGATGCAGCAGACCTCTCCTGTCCACCGGCTGCTCCCCTCAGCAGTATGCTTCAGTCAATCCACCTGTTCTGTTCCCCACTCTGTCTCTGGTGCATCCTCTCAGCCCCCATCCCAACCTGTACTCCAATTCTTGTATGCATAAATAAATCTTTTTAAAAATCAGTTTTAATGGCAAACTTTCAGGTACAGTCTACATTCTTGGCACAGTACTGAACTCACAATTTCGGGAAACAGGCAAGGAAATTAAAAAGAATTTTAAGAGGAAAACATGGTGGTTTCAGCAAACAATTGCTGTTGCTCTCTCCTAAACTCAACAAAAGAGATAGTGAAGGACCCTGAAAGGTAAAAAGCTGCAAAGAGCAAGAAATCAGGAAAGGAGACAACAGCTGTCAAGAGAGTTTGACAGAATTTAGGAAAACAAAGGAACAGGAACAGGAGAGCAGCAGTGGCTGATCCCAGCACCCCTAAGGAAGCAGGCAGGAGGAGCCAGCTGCAAGCTCTCCAGGATGGGGAACACACAGGGACCCTGAAAGCAGAGCTGATGTGGGAACTTGAAACTGGTGGCAAGTCTTTACGGCAAACAGATGCCACAGCCTAGGATGGGAGGTTTGCTCTGGAGAAAAGCGCAGTGTGGATTTGCGTTCTTCAAACTAGCTGAGGGCAGGGGTGAAGTACTTTATGGAAATGGAGGGTCAGTGTGAAATTGGGCTGCTGAACAGGAGACCCATGACCCTCATCCTCCACTAGGCACCCAGCTTCCCGGTAGCCTCCGTGCAGAGAGGGTTTCTCTAGGAAACCTTAGTGACCTAAGAGATAAGACCTGCTGGTACTGACAGCTGGGGTCAGTGAATCCGCAG